GTTCGATTCCTGGTGCTACCAGATTTTCTGAGAAGTAGTGGGTCTGGAATAGGGTCCACTCAGCCTCGTGAGGATAATTAAGGATCTATTTAAAGGAAATAGTGGCTCCAGTCTAAAAAACCGAGATTAACAGCCTTAGGGATTTGCTGCGCTGCCTACATGACACCCTCTGTCTGCTAAAGTTGATACTCACTTCGCTGTCAAGCGGCGGTCGCTTGGTTGGTATGGTTCACTTGCGGACTGAAGCCGTGGAGTTTGTTTTTTGTTTGTTTTTGTTGTTTTAGAATATTAGACTTTGGACAAAGCCCAGTAACTCCATAACTCCGAGTATAATACACCATCATCGAACCCTTTAGAATTGAAGTATAATTGTTTTTAGTTAAGCGTTTGTTCCAATTTCAGAATTTCAAGATGAAGGAAATAGACCTCATCGTGTTAAAATACGCTCTTTGCATTTGTTGGATTCAACTGGCTGGTTATGGAGACATTGTCAAAGCCGTGGAGTACCTGAAGGATATTGAAGATAATCGGGTGTCTAAATTCCCTGCTGTGTACTATGGCTTGGGAAGGGCGTATTATAAATTAAACAGGTATGTTTTTTTGTTCATGCCAGTAAGGGGTTTTGATTACATGAAGAAACATCTGGCTGTTAACTGAAACATGATGTGAAATGCTATCCACTATACTTCAGGAGGACTTGAAATCCAAGGGCTATTCGGAAAGTAATTTCTGGTGAGCTGTTATCAAAACAAAGAGAAGAAAATTTATATACATAAGTTATTTATAAGTGTGGTCACCACTGAAATTGATGCACTTATCGTAGGGGGGAATAAGTTTTTGTATGCCTTTGTAAAAGAAGTCTGTTACCTGTGAGCTTAGGCGCACTTCAGCACCTTCCATCAACTCCTTGTTACTGTTGAAGCGCTGTGATTCCAGCCATTTCTTCAGGTAGGTAAACAGATGGCAGTCACGCAGAGCAAGATCAGGGCTGTAAGGACGGTGGTCTGACAGCTCCCAGTTTAAATGCTTCAGCAGTGCTTGAGTGTGAGCAGCTGTATGTCATGGCACAGCACTACATTGGATATCAGAATTCTGTGCCTTTTGTGTTTAATGGCCATACTCAGGCATTTTAGTGTTTCACAGTACATTTCTGATGTTACTGTAGTCCCTTGTTGCATGAATTCCACTATCAGCACTCCTTTCCTGTCCCAGGAAACAGCTGCCATCAGCTTTCTCGCAGACGTTTATTTAAACTGTTAGGCTTGTGTGGTGAATGTGTGTGTATTCACTGCTTTGACCGCTCATTGGTTTCAGTAGTCACAAAACCCAGGTTTCATCAGCTGTTGCTCATATGATCTGATTGAGAAATTTGTCACCGTGTTTGTTGTATCGCTCTAAAAATATTTACAAAAGTTGAAACCATTCTCTGCATTTTATGTGAACCCATGAGCATTTTCGGAACCCATCTTGCACAAAATTTGTGATAGCCTAACCTAATTGTTACAAACTTGTAGAGAACAGCGTGTGATATTTGTGGAAATTCACAAAAAAATTTCTGAAATTATAAGTGCCGTTTTTCTCAAATTTTTTGGTCAACATTTTGAACAAGATCATCACTCACTGCAGATGGCCAGCCACTTCACTTTTCAACATGAACATTTGTTTGCTCATCTTTGAACTTTCCACACCACTGTCTTTAACAGTTACCAGTTTTTCAGCATGTTCTTATGTTTGTTCCCAAGTCTTATATTGTGTATTATGACAACCAATCTCTAGAACAGTAATAGAAAATCTGCATTGGCTACATTGTGTGGTAATTCTGTCATCATTTCTCTGGTGGGGAGAGGAGGATGTAATCTGCTGCTTCCCCATTTTCAGTATGTATTTATATATTCTGTAATACTTGGAAATTTCTTTACTTTGCTACGTGATAAACTGATATTTTGTGTCTTTTTATCATATTTGCTGTGATAAAGAATTGAGAAAATCTCTTTTGAAGTGAAATATTCCAATTATGTGAAGCTGAAATTATGTAATGTGGAGTTGTGGTTTAAATGCTTGACAGTATACCTGTATTTTCTTTGTTGTTAGATATAAAGTAGCAGCAGAACATTTGGAGAAGGGTTTGTTATTTTTGAAACGAGGAGTTACGTTTGAAACTCATTCCTGGCCGGGAACTAACGATGTTATTTCAGAAACAACAAGAAATGGTCTCGAGGTAGGTTTGCATCAGATACTTGTTGCTGTGTCAGACTTGAGGTTCTCATGATGTATGTTATAAGAATTACTGTCTTGTGTGATGTGTGATGTGACACCATGCACCTGGTAACTAATTAACCAGTGTTTTAGGGGAACTTTGCTGTTTCCATCTTCAGAGTACTCTTCTGAAGATGAAGGCATATATTTCTTGTGAAACATTGGTAACCACGTACCAAACTACATGACATCACATCTCAGAAGACAATAATTTTCATTTGTTACAATGCCGATAGTAATATCAGCATGAGTATATTTCACTAGAGTTCCTTAATTTCAAGTAGATGAAGTGTACTGTATCTTCACTGTATGTTCTCCGAAACTGGCATCAAAATTAAAATCTTAACAACCCTTATTTCAGAAATGTAGTGAGGGTTGACACAAAGAAAAAAATACTGAAGGAATATATTAATATGTATTCAAATGCTGGATGCCTTAATGAAACAGACAACTTACTTTAGGAAGCCGAGTATTCACTTTTTTTTATATGCATTAAATTAATATTTTATTAAGAATTACATCTGACATGTGAATTGTTATGTTTGTGTTTCACTTCCTTTAATAGAACTGCCAGGGTCAGTTAATTCAATGCTGAAGAAAATATGCAGTTATGTAAGATTTCCAAGTACATGTGCTGTGAGATCATACTAAATCTTCCCACAAATTGTTGAGCTGCTCAAGTGGAGGAGGCGAACGCATCTTTTGTTTAGTTAATCGAGATTCACACTTCTAGTGGAATCAACAAGACTGTAGTCAGGAGAATCTTTAAAATTAACACCAATTTAATTGTTACTAGGAGTATGGCCATAAATCAAAATGCTGAGTTCTCACTGAAGAGAAATTGGATGAAATCCATGCCAGGTTGGAACGTTCTCCTTGAAAATACCTCGGAAGTGCAGCACAGGAGACCAGGGGTTTCAAGTTTCAGGCTCTCCCCCTCCCCCCTGAAAATGAGCTTCAATGCATGTATGAAAAATTTTCACAAAGGTGTCAAGAATTCATGCGTAACAACAGAAAGCATACCCAGCATCTGTTATATTCTGGGTAATTTCTGTTTTAATTTCTTAGGGTAAGGTGTCTTGATTCCGTTAAAGGTTAAGTTATCCCTGTAATAGGCCATGAAGGCCCATAGGGTTGTGAGATGCCAAGACTCCCACATTTTCTCTAGACAGTTGGCTCACAGATGGCGGTGAGGTTGTCAGCCTTATGTGCCAGCCGCCCTTTACCCCCCAAGAAGATTCATGGTACTTATTTATGTTAGAGGCTGAGTCAACTCCGGGCCATAATGTGGCTGAAAGGATTGGGTAAATTGGAGAAAATCCACTTCATTGGGTTTCAGACCTGCAACCTTCTGGCTTGTAGCATAGTGCCTCAACCAACTATGCTACCATGTGCCCCTGTCTTTATTCCATTAGGAGTCAGAATTTATGTGGCATGACGGATGGGGGAGGAGCAGTAGACTCCTCGGCCTCCCTTCCACATGAGCAGCTCAGTTATATGTGCGTAAACTCTAAGCTTATGACATTTTATATGAACTTGAGATCACACGTTGATTTGCCACAATATGCTGTTTAGTAATTCGGCAACAGGTACAGTTTAGCTAGCTGTGATTGGAATTGAAAGTACAATCCTGGAGGAATGGAGAAAAACCTGGAACTGTCGGGTCAGCATAACAGACTCTAATTGAAATCTGCGTACACAGAATGGGAAATAAGAATGGTGTCCATTACTACTACACTTTTTGGACTCATTGATAGTTTTGGAAGTCTGCTCAAGTCATTGATTTTTGTGTTCTGTTTGTAGGACGGTCTAAAAGGATTACTTAAAATGTGTCGTGTTTACCATGAACCTGATGCGATTTGTAAATACAATCAGTGTCATAAAATTAGTTCTCATATAATTCCTTCGGAACATATTTTCTACAGGTAAGTTCAGTCATCTGAATATATGACACTATACGTAGTTCTGTTTTATTTTGCTTGAGCTGTAAAATTGTCAGATTCAGTATGATACCACTACAGTCAGTAATTTCGTGGCCTGTGTTTTGTTGCACATTATTACAAGATACTGACATACACTTACACATATCCACGTCCTCCCTCAAAATAGTTGCCATTGGCCACTATGCGAGTCTGTCAACATTGTTATAGCTACTGGAAACACTGCTCAGAGATACTTGCAAGAAAGTCCCATACAGCTTCCCTTGTGGTGGTGGTGATGCTCATGTAGCTTTTCTTTCAAATGGGGGAAAGAGAAAGAAATCTTATGGTGTGATATCAGGTGAGTATGGAGGGTGCGGCAAAACAATTACCTGCTGTTTTGCCATCTCTTAGACAAGCACGGAGCGATGTGCAGGGGTGTTGTCATGTAGCAACAGCCAGTTCTTCCCGCACCAAAGCTCAGGACGCTTACGACGAATTGCATTGCTTAGACGGCAAAGGATATCCTTGTAGTGGTGCTTGTTTACAGTTGCTCCTTCTGGGAGCGATGAGTCAAAAACATTGCCTTTTGACCTGGCCTGTCACTGTTTCTTCTTTCTTGGCGATGATAGCGATTTCCAGGTGTCCAATTGTTGCTTCAGTTGTGGATCGTACAGAAAACACCATGTTTCGTGTCCTGTTATGATTCAGTTGAGAAACATCCTATCATTGGCAGAACTGTCGATCAGGTCACTGCAAATGCCCATGCAGTCATCACATTGGTCTTGTGTTAGGACATGTGGAACACTTTGCTGGGTAACACAGGACATGTTCAGGTCATCAGACAGAATCCTGTGTGCAAGTACCGTGGCTGCTCCCTGCTGCTGCTGTGATTTCGTCTGCCATTAGGGAGTGGTTGGCAGGAACCAACATTGCAACTTCTTCGATCTTGAGTTCAGTTCTAACTGTTCTTGGCTGACTGATATGCTCATAATCTTCCAAATCATCTGTCCCCTGTGCAAAATGTTTGTGCCAATTAAACACAGCACTACAACCCAAGACTTCTTCCCTGTACACTTGCTTGATCATCTGAAACGTTTTACTAGAGGATTTGCCCAATTTTTGGCAGAACTTGACATTTTCCTATTGCTCAAACTGTGACATTCTCGATTTCTGCTGCTCGCAGACAACTACCTTTCACAACAGCGACTTCCTTTCTGAATACACAGTGTGCGCACAACTGCTTCTTGCTGGGATGAGAGAAGAATGGTCATGGCCTATCTTGTGGCTCCACACATCTGCTGTAGTACATAACAGCACTACTGTGTGACCAGTCCACAAAATTATTGACTGTACTACATATTGGATTAGAGTATGGCTTTCAGAATGTTAGACTGAGTTTGATAGAGTATCTTCTTTGTGCTCAAGAGTATGTGACACTCCTCAAGGTCCAATTTCAGTTCAGTTTGAATTTTAAATTTGTTTGGGCTTTGCCCAGCATTGAACTTGAACGTAATGCCCTTGGTTTTGGGTTGAGACTGACAGAAGATTTCAGAGGGTTAAGAGTTGAAAATAGTATAATCATTGGGTGCAGTGCAACTTTTTATATAATGAGAATTCATACAATTTATTTAAAAAATCCTCCAAAGTAATGTTCATTATATCCAAAAATGGTGGAAATGCATGATCATCAAGACTATCCCCTAGTATCAAACTATGTCTATCATAATACAGCAGTAAATTAAAAAAAAATATTGATGTGGTTATTGCAGTATATAATCTTTTTTGAGTGCCTGTATTGATATTAAAATGAAGAACAGTTCAGTGTTCTCAGAACTTGTAGCATTTTTGGAATTGAGGAGTTAAATGTAACTGCTTCTGAGCAATAGTATAAGCATGTGTAGGTGCCATATGTACAACATATGTTAAATTCAAATAAGTTTTATGAATATATATGAGACAAACTCCATCTTAAGTGCAACAATTTAATTGTAGTTCTTTCTTCTTTCCCTCCTCCTCACTACATGTGGAGAAATTTTATAGACATTTTAACTTGAATTAAAGTTTTAAAAAAGTGCCAGTTTTAGAAATCAAATTAACGCGTGTAGGTTAATAAAGATTTTATACATACAATTAGAAAGATTTTAAATTTTAAACTACAGGCAGTGTAGCAGCTACGTAAGAATACACACCTGATGATGGCCATTTAGGGCCGAAACATGTAGTGTGGAGGAAGGAAAGAAGAAAGAACTACAATTAAATTGTTGCACTTAAGACAGAGTTTGTCTCATATATATTGTGCGAGTGTAACAGGATGCTCAAATATAATATTATTAAAAAGTTTTATGAAGTCATTGTGTCATTGATGCTGTATTTTACACATATTTCTAATGTGAAAATTTAAATAACCATGTTGTTGATTTTCTTTTACAGTGATCCAGATTTTAGTGGTTTTGTTACTGTAATTTGTCAAGAAAAATGTAGAATAGAATACCATTTGGGGTGTTGGAAAGACTATAAAGAAGCTATAATGTCCACCGAAATAGGGAAGTTGTCTGACAAGGTAATTTCGTGCTACAGTGCATAGAATAGATAAGTTCTTAATTCAGATTTAACTGTATGTGACATAACATTTAGGAAATAACGGCCTCTCTGGCAACTGAACCTCATCTTGGTCTTCTATCCAAGTGGTTTTTACAGGAACTCTATACAGTTCTCTTTCCATCATGAGTTTTCAGGGAAGTTTGATTTCTTTCATCCTAGTCCGTCACACTAACAGTATTATGACTGATCAGTCACACTGGACGGAATTAATTAACCTTTTATAGTATTGGGGGAACTTTGCTGATCCAAAATAACAAAATTCTTTGCTATGGAAAACACTAATTTTCTTGTTAAATATTGTCATTCCTCCATTTCATCGCTTTTTGGGTCCAAGTGATAAATTATCATGAACCTTTTTTTAACCCTCAAACAAATAAAAAAATGTATTGTATTTTATTTTGTCCGTTTTGCTACATAGTAACACTTGGACAAGTCATTCAGTAATAAAAGTAAACAAAATAAATCTACAAAGTTACAAGCATACTACCAACATTTGTTACAATCATAAGCAATATATAAATACAACATTTAAAAAAAATTATACAAACTACTATATACAGCTTATAAATGGCTATGACATCCAAACATGAGTACTGGCACCATCCACTTTTTTATTAAAACTAACAAACATAAATTTATAATATTTGAAACGTTTGTTTTGCTTCCTGGGTTCCTAGTTTCCTACTTCCCCTGCCTGAGCTACATGTATAGCCCATTGAATCCCTCTTTTAATTTGACTGCTGCAACGGTACTAGGTGAGATGTACACATGTACAACTTCTCATGCAGTGGCCTCCTTTCCCCTGAAATACTGACCTGTGTATCACAGCAATAGAAAGTCACTACAAAAACGATTTCATTGGCAATAATTAGAGGAAATAATGTGACAGTTTGAACATATAGGAGACTCGATTATACATATGTGTATTAGCCATGGGACTCTTAACAGCCCCCTAATGATTCAGTTCAATTCAATTCAATTTAATTTATTTCAAATTCAAAAATAGATCCAGATACAGGCTGGGAAACAACCATTGGATATAGAATGAGTCACAGATAAAAAAAACAAGCATTCCATTCCGACAAAAAACAAGCATTCCATTCCGACAGGAACAAGTCAAGGCATTCATAATATAAAACAAAATAAAAGAACATATCAGCCATATATACAACAAAACTCCCCCAGTGTGAAACTCATGACTCATCTATTATTTCCATAAAATCCAATACTTTAGGATGTGGAAAAGTCATATTAGATAAATAAGTAGTACAAAGATTGTACAGATTGTATCTGTGATTTAAATGTTGCCCATTACGTCTTTTTAAGTCTACTTTCCTTATTTTGAAAAAATAAAAGTAAGGTTATGTGATCACATCACATCACTGTTATTGGAATGATTGGAATTCTGCCATATATATGCTGCTTCCTTGAGTGAGTTCCTATAATCTTACCATACAGGAATATGCAAGGTAAAAAGACTATAATTTAAAGTGTTAGAAATGTTTTATGTTGAAAATTTATATATTTTTGAAGTCCTGTTTTCTGTTTTTCAGGATTTTATAGGAAGATCTTGCCCAACAACAGATTGTGTTACCCAGGCAAATGAATGTTCCGTAATAACAAAAATAGAGATAGTGGGTGATGATGCAACTGTTAGGACTTCCATTGAAGCCCCAAAGGTGGAGACACCTATTAAAGAGTCCAAGAAAGCAAAGTAAGTAAGACAATTAACTACTTGATACTTGTGTGGAACTTTCAACATCAGCATTCTACATTGACATTTCACTAAAGTGGGTTGTCATATTACAAATACAGTAATACCTCTTATAGTCTGGGTAATCGGTTCCGCCAATATCCCGGACTATAGTGAATCTGGACTGATTGAAGCCAGACTATGCGAGGTATTGCTGTACTTCCCAATTCCCTTTCCTCTGATCCCATTTTCTCTCATCTCTGAGATTTGATGCATGTCTTTTGCCAGCACATAGTCAAAATGACTTTTGGTAACATCATCATATTTCCTTATGTATCTTCTTATTTGGAAAATGTATGCTTGTGATAGTACTGATACCAGAAACAAGGGACACACGGTAACATAGCGGTTGAGGCACTGTGCTACAAGTCGGAAGATCGCGGGTTCAAGTCCCAATGAGGTCATTGGATTTTTTTTTACACTTGCAGTGCTACAATCACTGCTTACAATATTCCGGCGAGACTGACTCCATAGACGGATATTCCAAACTGACTTCTTAGACGGGCAATCCGAAGCTTTCTTCTGCGGAGACTATTCCGATACTCACTGTTTCTCGCTGAAGCTGNTGATTGTCTAGATACTGTCGGACCCTCAGCGTCTCACAACCCGATGGGCCTTCACAGCCTGTTACAGGGATAGCCTTACTTTACTTTTACTGATACCAGAAACAGTATCTCAGCCCATTACTGTTGGATATTTCACACAAACTGTGTCTTCCAGTACTTGACTTGAATAACTCATCTGTAACAATCCTTTTATTAAGTTTCCCCCTGAATTTCTTGTGTCATGTGCAGGTGCTATGTGATAGATCCTGTCAAGTTTATCGTGGAAGGAATCTTTACCTTATCGTCCTTCACTTAATTTAATGCATGACCACATAGTATTATATTGTTCAACCTTCCTTTCTTAAAATATGGCCTTTAATTCAGTGTCTCTAAGCCACTCACTTCATGCTTATATTTCTTATTAACAAAGAATCCTATTCCAAATGCTTTATTATCCATACATCCACTTTAAAGCATAGTAAAATTTCCTCACCTTTTCATGTAATTTCTTGAACTCATGCAGTAGCAATTCTGTGTTTATTAAATTCCAGTTTTAATTGACTCGAATAAACTAAGCACCTTTCTGTAGTTGTTTCCCAAAATTTTCCATCAGGCATGTATCATTAGACTTCCAAACATATATTGTCCCAAGTTGAAGTTGATATCCTCAAGCCCAACCTCCAACCTGGAGAACCTGATGCCACCTTTTATCCAACCCCTACCCTACAACCTGTCTGGCATGGGTGTCCCTACCAGGAGCTTGTGCCCCTGCTAGCATAGCTTATCAGGAGACCAGGATGTGGAAACTTCCCACAACTTTAAGATATTGTCCTGGGGCCAGACAGAATTAGCACTGTTTTGTATTTGTATACTTAAGTAGTGCTTAGTATTTTTCATGTGTCATGTTTTCCTAATTTGTATTTTATATACTTTCGTAAATGTGTAATTTGTATTTTATATACTTTTGTAAATATCAACCTCTTCACTAGCCTACATTATAAGGTCAAAGTCAGTTACCAGACTTTGTTGTTTCTTCAGTTATTTTTTAACTGCATGTCATTACTTTCAGGAAAAGGAAGAATGAAAAAAGTACCGAAGTCGCTGCTCAGGAAAAGGTAATGTTCATTTAATGTTCGTTCACAAGGAATGTATGTAGTGTATGCTTTCGTGAACTAACGTGTTTATTTGTATAGTAGGTTTGTTGAACACACCCATGTCATGTGGCTGAGTTATTGGTAAATAGAAAATTTATTTGAATATGCGGTAGTTACTCTGAAGGTCATGTGTTCTACGCATTGCAGACATTTGATTTTGCCTGAATGGCTGACGCTGTACTTCATTCTACTAGTCAGCTCCTCAATGCTTTGTAGGCCTGTTGCTCCGTAGTTTACGGAGGCTGAGGGTATTATGTAGCATTGAAGATGCATGTCTTTCTCCCACCCCTTCAGGTATGCCAGAAAAGTTGTTGGCCTACTGCACTGCAGATTGTTTGGTTAATCGGAGTCTTTTTTTTCACTTGTGAAAGTGCACTGTAAGACAGATGAGTGCCTAATGTGCTTTCATAATCAAGCCAAAAAGGAGTCTGGCCTGTGGTAATGTTAAGATATACTAATCTTGCTAATACCATTATTTTGAATTGTCTCATTCTGGTTCGCTGCACTATTAATTAGAAAGTTAATAGAATTTTCCATCCAGTGCGGCAATAGAGGTCATTTCACTTCTATTATTCTTGCCTTACATGTTTCGGTTTAATTAAAACCATCATCAGAGGCACTTTTCATACGGCAGGAGACACTGTTAATTAAGCTGGTTTGATGTTCACTTTCAATTGTGTTATTCACAGATATATGTTTCACATTATTGTCATAGGTGTTAGTTACGATGGCACTTGTCGTATAAAAACAAACATGCAGAATAATTGAGTATGCCAACAGGCTATACATAGCACAGGAATTATAACCACTTTTTCCCACAGTAGATTTCTTATGTTTGGATTAAATCACTATTAAACTATTTAAAATTTAATTCAAATTGTCGTAAGTCATTGGTTGTCAATTCTTCCCGTGGATGGGAGTCGTCATTCTTGGTGGTGTGTGGGCTTATATGCATTATGATGTTACGTGTGTGCTGTGTCCTTTGTACAAAGGTTCAGACAGGCAAAGGAATAACTTGTTTGCAGCATGCCCAAAATTGCTGGCAGACACTTTTGCTGTGTGCCATTTAAATTTCCTTGAGGTTACCCAAACATTAGAAGACTTTTTTTCTTAAAGTTGGGAGACAGTTAATAACAAAACAGTAAGAAGAGCCCAGCTTACAGGGAGTTTTCTGAGATGTTCCATAGGAAAGGTGGGATAAAATGGGTTATGGAGGACAAGAATGGTCAGATGGTGCTTAGTTTTGAATGGGGTAGAGGAGACAGCCATGAACCACCCGGTCGGAATCATAGGTCCTGAAAGAGCACATATTCCAGAACATGAATTAGGAAGGAGTAACTATGAAAGAACAGGAGTCCCTGAAGGCTTTTTTAAGGGAAAGTAATGGACAGAGGAAAGCTAAGTTAGACTCATTCTTTGGAAAAGCCTTGCTTTCCTTCAGGGTGTGACTGAGAGCTTTTATGACTTGCTCAGGGAGAAATAATTTCCTTTGTTATGTTATTTTCATATACATTACAATAATGGTTTGTGGGGGGTCGGGGTGATATGTCTATCTTTTTTCCTGCATGTTAATATCTGTGTAATAAATTGTGGAACTACAGAACTACTCTTGGAAGAGAGAGTGGTCCATCCTGGACCTAAAGGACAAATAATTCAGCCATTTATAAGGGAACTGCCCAGTTCTGGATGAGAGTGTTAGCTAATGAGTAAATGTACTTTTTTTATTTCAGCCAAAAAGTAAGCCGGTTACAAAAATAAAGAAAACTCTCCCAGAAACAGTGCAAACAGCATCACAGGAAACACAGGCAACCAGCTCAGCGTAAGTAAAACATGACAGTTTTAATAACTAAAGCTTATTTAAATTTAATGTCAGTACAGGTAACAGAAATTGAGGAAATGCTGAGTTTGCTGGAAGAAAAGTTGTAGTTTTCAGTCCTCCTTTCCCTCATCACTGTACAGCCTGATGAATGGACAGATGTACTCCAGCCTGTAGGTACACATCCGGATAGTTCTCTGGTGTGTTGTTCTTTACATTCACTTACTACAGGTACAGAATTGATGACAAATCTAATCTGCACATATTACATTATACAGGGTGTATCACAACTCAACGGCAAAACTTCAGGATCGGACTCCTCATATAGAGAGAAGAAAAAAAGTTTATGACAACATGCGTCTGGAAATGCATATAATTACAGAGTAGTAATTGTGTCTTCACACCACTGAAAAGAATTGGCAGAGGAAAATGTATCACGAAGAAATCACAGGTGACATCATGATAATCATAGAGCTGTCTTCCCAGTGAAAAGCCGACCCACCGATAGAAAGGCTGTCTTCCCAGTGAAAGCGACCCACCGATAGAAAGCACTCATGTCGCCAATTCTTTTCGGTGGCATGCAGACACAATTACAACTCTGTAATTATATGCATTTCTGGACCCATGTTGTCATATACTTTTTCTTCTCTCTACATGAGGATTTTGTTCCTGAAGTTTTGCCGTTGAGTTGTGATACGCCCTGTATAAGGGTTTAAATTAAAAGTAGTTTTTTTTTTATTTCATTAAATGTATATCATCTCATTCATTTTATAAATCTTGATCAGATCTGTGGTTATGTCATACTTCTTTTGTTTGTGTGTGGAGGTATATGCTGCTTTCAGAAAATAAAACCTGTTTTCAACTTCATAAATCAGATGCTATATTGATTCAGTACAGATGAAAATGAGGTATGCTGAACAACTCTTCGTGTAGACCCTTTGGTACCAACTTTGTTTGAAGTCATAATTTTGGAGATCGAACATGTGGATTGACAAACACACTTTGATCTTCCCATTGTACGCTGATTTCATGCATCTGTTTTGTAGAAGGAGCAAGTAAATACTGTCCCGTATGTAATCTTAATACAAGCAGACAGTGGGACAGCAGTAAAAAGAACTGTCCACCCGTCCATCTTTTACCCAGAATAAAGCATATAAAGGTAAAGGATGCCACAGTAGGGTCTGAGCGTTGAACCAGGAGGAGCTGCTAAAATTTGTGCTTAATATACCTACAGATGTGATAGGTAATAGTTTGAAATACTTATGTGAGGTGTGTTAAAAAGAGTTCCTGAAATTACAGTGTGGAGTGGCAGTGCATCAATCATGTTAAGTGCTGTTTGAGTGACCTTGAAACCTGACCGTTAGCGACACAAGCCAGTTTTTTCGAAGTGGATTGCGCATTCTGTGTAGTTGTTTTAACTGGTTTTGTGATCGAGTGCGAATTTGTGTTAAATTCTTTTTCAAGTACAGAAAACAGCTGCAGAAACCCATAACATGTTGCATGAATCTTAACGGCGATGGTGCCTTGAGTCGCATGAAGACTTATGAATAGTTCAAACCTTGTAAAAAAAGGGAGAACTGCAACAGATGATAAGTGGTCTGGCCAACTTAAAGATCCAAACCTCTGATTGCCCAGGTGAGCAACATCCATGGAAATCGTTGACTGACTGTCCGAGAAGTTGCAGAAGAGGTTGGAATAATCATTGGTGTATGGCACACAATTTTAACAGAAGATTTAAGAATGCCTCAGGGTCTCAGCAAAATTTGTGAAAATATTCTTGGCTGGTGATGAGAAACTGCGATGATTTTCCATCAATGAAAATCTCCAAAGAGCAGATGATGGTGAAAATCTTTTGAGAAATGTCATTACTGGTGACTGGACATGGGTTTATGGTTATGACATTGAAACCAAACAGTTCCCACACTGGAAGAGTCATGCTTCACCTCAACCCAAGAAAGCACGACAAGTGCACTCACGAGTGAAATCAGTGCTGCCTGGTTTTTTTTTATCATTGAGGCATTGTGCATTATAATTTGCCCCTGTAGATGAGAGAGTTAATCAAGGTATTTATCTGGTGGTTCTGAAACGTCTGCAGGATGCAGTATGAAGAAAGTGACTCAAAATGTGCACTGCAGTAGGCTGACTCCTCCTTCATGATAATGCACCTGCTAAGCATTGTCAGTTAGACAGTTCTTGGTAAAACATGCAATTAGTACCCTTCCACAACCCCTGCTATTCATATGATTTCTCTCGTCCCGACTTTTTCCAAATCCATAAACACAGATTTCAGACAGTGGAAGACTTCACAAATGCAATGAATGACTTGAACACAGTACCACAAGCATCTTTTGAACAGTGCTCCCAAAAGTGGTAAAGATGATGATGAGAGGTGCATTGCTGTACTAGGAGACCATTTTGAAGGGGATAATAAGCATTAAACCTAAGTCAAGAAAGATATTGTCACATATATGGGTGACTTATAAGCGAGGGTTTGGATTGGTAACTGGATTTATTGATCACTCCTCTACAGTTACTTGTAATCACAATAAATTACAGTAACTCACAATAAATCATCAGCCTGACCCTTCTTCCTTGACTACTGAGGACTCGTTCAGTACTGATCTGATCTCAGTCTCTCTTCCGAACTGATCTGCCCCAATTCTGACTGGACCCAATCTGGGTTTCCTCTTATATAATGTCAGCTTGGACCAACAGAGAGAACATCATTCAATCTCATATCCAAGGAAATGTTTGTTGATCACCCATAACGGGCTGGTCTCCAAGAATCCATCTGCAGAAACGTTTTTTCTGGCTCGTTCCCTGTCAATGGGCATATTCATCACAGTATTACTTGCAGACGAATTTCAGAAACATTTTGAACACCTTATATTTTTTACATTATTTATATAGGAGATTTACAAAGCAAGTTGACGAAGCAGTTAATACTTTGGCATTTCGAACCTTGATGAGGACACTGCCTATCCTGATAGGTTTTTATGGTTTTCCTCAGTTCATGCAGGCAGATGCCATTACTCAGTATCACTGACTCATCAGACAATGTAATCTGAGTTGTAAGATTTGAGGCTTTCACGGCGGTGACTATGAAGAAAGCAGTCTTCTGGGATTTGGCACCGTGTAGAAACGGTAAAAGCAGACTGCTTTTACCATTTCGCACAGTCTCTTCGCTTGCAGATTTCTTATATTTTTTCTTCTACCCTGAAGATGGAGGCGATACGTTCCTCTGAAACGTCGGTTAACACCACATATACACGGTGCCAAATCCCAGAAGACTGCTTTCTTTGTAATCTGAGTTATTACCAGCATTATTAAATAATTACAAGCAAATGTAGGAGACTTGACAACATATTAATAGAAGCTAGTTTGTTGTGAGATGCTTTATCCTGATACTGTATTTCAGCTCATTCTTAAATTTGTCACATTTACTTTTAGGGAGGAGTTGGCATTGCGACTCGACAGGCTAAAGCGTCTAAGAGAATTTAATTTTGGATATACAGATGATCATGTATGTATATGTAATTTTAAGCACAAATTCTGGTGAAGGAAATAAATGGATTAGCCGCATATTCAGTTGACTATAGACAAGCTTTGACTACTTTCATATTTGTTAAAAAAAATCGGGATCATCTTAAATTTGCAAATGAAAATATTTAAAAAAAAAA